GTAGTAGTAGTAGTAGTAGTAGTAGTAGTAGTAGTCGTAGTCGTAGTCGTAGTAGTAGTAGTAGTAGTAGTAGTAGTAGTAGTAGTAGTAGTAGTAGTAGTAGTAGTAGTAGTAGTAGTAGTAGTAGTAGGTAGTAGGTAGTAGGTAGTAGGTAGTAGGTAGTAGGTAGTAGGTAGTAGGTAGTAGGTAGTAGGTAGTAGGTAGTAGTAGTAGTAGTAGTAGTAGTAGTAGTAGTAGTAGTAGTAGTAGTAGTAGTAGTAGTAGTAGTAGTAGTAGTAGTAGTAGTAGTAGTAGTAGTAGTAGTAGTAGTAGTAGTAGTAGTAGTAGTAGTAGTAGTAGTAGTAGTAGTAGTAGTAGTAGTGGTAGTAGTAGTAGTAGTAGAAGAAGAACTCGTTGTCGTAGTAGAACTCGTTGTCGTAGTTGTAGTCGTAGTAGAACTCGTTGTCGTATTCTTCTGTGTAGTCGTAGTGAAATTTGCAGCTCAAGAGAAGGGATGGGGAGCATCGGGGCGGGCATACGGTCTCCCTTCCGCACATCCTGGCGGGCGCACGTGTTGTCACCATGCCGGGCGCGGCTAGGACGAGCACGAATCTTTTCAGGGCGTTCCGGAACGCACGCAGGGCCTTCCGGAACGCTCGGAGAAGAATGCCGCGGCGCCCGAGACATCCGCCAGATCCGCCGGATCTCAGAGATTCTCGTTTTACCCTCACCCGATGCTTTCCTCGTCCTGGCTTCGTCTTACCCTGCGCGCGTTTGCCGCGCGGGCGTGCGGCCAGTCTCTGGGAGTGGAGGGGCAGGCGGGGCATGCGCGGGGCAGCTGGGCGGGCGGAGGGGGCGGCGCGCACAGAGGGCGCGCCGGTGGACGGCGGGAGGACGGCACGAGGGTCTTCGAGAATCTCGGGCTGCGCTCACCATCCACCTCGCAGACATCGAGCGGCTCATCAAGGTGGGCCCCGGGGCATGGATCAGAGGAGGAATGCCCAGGCCGCGATGCTGGCCTCGTTTTCCCTTCTTGGTGGCTCCTGGGAGGCCCTCGTCGCCACCGCTGGATTCGCTTCGGAATTCTGTGAGAGCGCACCCAAGGGACAGGTCCGGGGAGTAGCGGTATGGGTGCCCGTGGGGTTCCCCAGAGGGAGGGGGCGGCCCACTCCTCCTTCTCGTCCTGCACCGTGGTCGAGCGAAGACAATTCGGGGTTCCCACCTGGGGGGTGGGCGCTTTCGTAAATCGCTGGGTGCAGCGCACGATAGGTCGCTCGTCGGTCGATCGTCGCCGAGTTTTCCCCTCGCGATGTGTTAATTTCTGCGTAGCTTAAACCTTTGAGATAAGTATCGATGCGCCGCCGCCACCGCCTTCACCGTCGTCGTCGTCGTCGTCGTCGTCGTCGTCGTCTTTTTGATGCCAGTAACGATGGCATGGCGCCTGCTGGGTATGGAACTCGTGTCATGCAAGTAAGTCGCAGCCGAACAAACAATGACGGCGTCACCTTTTCTGGTAAATGCCAAAGTCTGCGCTCGACAGGAGCAATGTGCGGCTCCAAAGAAGCCATACTTGCCTTTCTGGCGATCGAGGCCAGCGCCATGGTTTCATAATGAAGTTGGCATTCCGAGCAATCATGCACATGATGGGCCTGCTCTTTCTTAAATGCCGACTCTCGCCCAACACTTATTCGTGACTTCTGTTCGTCACCGCTTGAATTAATCAGCAGGTGCGCATATAGAAGGCGACTCCCTTTTCAACTTCTATGTCTCGCGTGAGGCCCCCCCTGCATTCGTGACCCCCACGCTTGGATGCCGAGTTGGTACAGGTCAGAGAAAGGAAAGGTACCGATGCCGCTGCCCGTCTCTCGTCACCACAGCGGGATTCGCCTCGACATCCTGGTGAAAACGCACCACCAGAGAGGTAAGGAGGGTGTAGCGGCATTCGTGTATTTCGCTTTTGTCCAGCCGGGGTCGACGTCTGCTCTTTTTCCACATCGCACTCGTGCCAGAGTTCTCCCAGGTTGTACCCAGCTGTCTGCGGCAAGCCTCCCCGCCGTGCCAGCCTCGGAAGCGCAGCAGGAACGAGGTTGGGCTCCAGGTCGGTGCCCTGCGCGACTTGGCGCGGGGCTTGAGCGCCCCATCCCTTTCCGCAGCCACGTTTTCGGGTGCCTTCGCCCCTGATCCCGCTCATCTTCAGGGCAGGGCTGCGCACAACAGCTGGCTCTGAAGTGCTCGTCGCGTGGCAGCTGCCACCCAGGCAGCAGCTGTCACGGGCAGCACGTTGGTGTCTGCTGTCGCTCAGTCTTCAGTGTCGGGGTAACTTGGGGGCCATCGCATCCATGGGCGTCTCGCCATCACTTGGCATCGCTCGGACGTGTGCATTTTTCCTTCGGCGATGACCATCGATGAGCATCCTTGATCATTTGGCGAACAAGCCACGCACGAAACCGAAAAAAGCACAGGCAATGGACGTCCGAGCGATGGCGAGATCATAATCATAGTTTTTGCTCGAGGGACTTTGGGTGCGCCAGCAAAGCTGGCGTGAGCTCTCGCGCTGAGACCAGTGCGAGCAGCGGTGCGCGGCCGCGATCGTCGGCGGGTGCGGCGGCGGCTGGCGGCGCGGACAAGGAGCGGCTGGCGGAGGCGCCAGCGCGATGGATGGTCACCACGGCGGCCCATCGAGCAGGGTGCGGCCCGCGGCGGCACCCGCAGCACGGACGCCAGCGAGCAGGCCGAGAGGCTCCAGAAGCCGAGCAAGGAGTGGCGGCGCTCGCCCCCCCCCCCCCCGCGGGGCCGCGACGGAGGCGTTCGGCGGCGTCACGAGGGCCAGACAGCGGCGGTGGACGACTGCGGGCTGGACGAGCCGTGGCCTCGCATCGCCCAGACGGAGGCGTTCGGCACCCCGGGCGAGGCGGTGCGCGCATGGAGAAGTGCAAGAGGGAGGCTGCGGCCCTCGCGAGGGCACGGAACGCCGCGGAACCACCCCGTGGGCGGTCGCGGGGAAGGCGAACGTCGAGGCGTGCGGGATGGCCCACGTGGCGGCGGAGACTGAGCTCGAGGCCGCGCGGCAAGAGCGGGCCGCCGTCGCCGGAGGCTGGATCCAGGCACCCAGCGGCGGCGGCGGGCCGCCGCGGCGCTGCGGTAACGGAAGCGGCGGCACCCAGGGCGCAGGATGGACACGACGGCGAAGGGTGCCAGGAGGCCGTCGGAAGCGCAAGCAGCGGCCGCCCCGTCGACGCAGCCGCCTGAGCCGAGGCGGGGACCACCGACCAAGAGGACGAGAAGATGGAGGCTGCGACGGAGTCGGCCATGGCTGTATGTGCGGCCAGTACTGGCGGCGCTGAGCGCGTTTCCCCGCGGCTCGGCCGCGAGCTGCGCCGCGGCGCCGCCGCGGCAGCCCGCGCCAATGCGGGCGCGCGCCACGGAGTCACCACGGAAGGCGAGCGCTGAGGCGGCAGCGCAGCCCGCGGTGACTGTGCCTCGGCAAGCTGATCCCAGGCAGCCACGCGCAGGAGGTGAAGGCCGGCGAAGCTTCCCGCCCGCCCCCCCTCCTTGGGCCGCATGCCCCGCTGGCCCGCCGCGCTCCAGGGTGCCGCGGTCCCGCCAAGGGGGCGCGAGTCCTTCGATATTTTGGCAGTGAGCGGCTCGGGCTGGGGGCAGATAGTCCAGCTCCGGCGGGTGAGCGAGGTTGCGGCTCCGTCGAAAACCACCGCGCCGACGCTTTGGCTGCTGCTAGAGACGCATCCACACGCGCGGGAGCTCAGCTCGCAGGGGGCATGGTCCGTCGACGCCAGAGTTAATCGAATTCAGCGAACGGGTCGCCAGCTCCCTGGAGGTAATGGAAGCAGTCTACGCGGGAGCGCTGCAGCAAGCCGAGGCCGAGCTGGGCCGCGCGTCGCTTGTCGGCAACCGGGGCCACAGCCAGCGGAGCGAGCGGCAGGAGGAGTATTCGAAGTACCCGATGAGCGACCATCTTTATGTGGCTGGCGGCCCCAATGCCTGCGGGAAGGCTTGCCACCTCATGGCCGTAGCGGACTACCTGGCCGTCGCGGCGGACTGTCGCAAGGGCAGGCGCCGGGTTCCGAAGCGAGCAGCCTGATGCTGCGGTGCCATGTGGGTAGCTGCGCTGGCCTCGACTTCGATGGCCACGCCCCGCTGCCTGGCCGAGCTCGCGGCCGAGGCCCGCGCGAGCGCCCCCGCCCTCGCATTCGAGGGTTCTCGGGAGCGGGCCGAGGGCTTCAGCCGATGGGTGCTGGTTTCGCTGGAACGAGGATCGGGCGGCCTCCACGCGCGGCGGCGCTGACCCCGAGGATGGCAACCCGACGAGCTAGCCCAAGGGGCTACCCGCGCACAAGCCAGCGCGAGGTCGAGTCGGTCGACGGCTGCTGGGCCAGGGAGATCTGGAGCACCGCCGACGGCACGGACATGTGGACCAATTTGAAGAAGCAGGGCGACTCCGCCGCGCTGGCCAGGCCGACGGCGAAGGAGTGGAGGAACGCCCATACAGCACAGCTGGCGCCGCGGCAGAGAGTAGAGAGAAGGACAGGAGCAGAGATCCTAGGTGGGATGGAGGTGGAGTTCGGTATCACACTGCAAGCAGAGAGTCAAATGGTATGTTGCGGGACTTTCGTGTACTTGAGGGGTCGTCAGGGGGCCCTCTGGGGCCCCGCAGGGGCACGAACGGTGCGCGTTGCTTGGGCCCCAAAATGGTCGCCCCTGGATTGACCAATGCCCATACCTACTTACTGACCACATGAGGCAGAGTTGGGGCCATGGTTCACTCCCTAGAGCCAGGCCAGTGGACCTCGTCGTGGCCAGCAGGCGGGCCGTTGCCATTGAAAACGCCATTCTTCGACCCTTCGTTGTCCAGTGTTTCCTCACTGGACCGCCACCCACCAAACCACCCCAACCCAACCCGAGGGCCTCAATTTGCCCTACATTTCCAGTGGGGGGGGGTCAGGGAAAATTGAAAAAAACACATCTGGAACCCGTGCCCCCCCCAACCCGACAATCAGGTCTTCGGGTTGGGTTGGGGTGGTCAGGTAGGTAGTCAATGAATGCATGGCGCGGGCGCTCGTTCCCCAGGGACGGGCGCCCCCTCCCTTGGAAAGGGGGCATGTAGTCGCCGCCGCCGCCTGCCGCCGCCTACGCCGCCGTCGCCGCCGCCGCCGCCGCCGCCGTCGTCGTCGTCGTCGTCGTCGTCGTCGTCGTCGTCGTCGTCGGTTTCGTCGTTGTCGTCGTCGTCTTCGGCGGCGGCGGCGGCGTCGGCGTCGGCGTCGATGTCGTCGTTGTCGTCGTTGTCGTCGTCGTCGTTGTCGTCGGCGTCGTCGTCGGCGTCGCCCACGCGGCGGGGGCCAGGGGGGCGAGCAGCCGGGCGCCGAGCTGGCGACGGCGGGCAGGCGGCACACGAGGCCCCGCCCGCTCGGGGAAGGGGGGGAGAAGGTGCGCCGTCGCCTCGCCTCGGGTCGGAGGGCCGGGCGAAAGGGGGGGATTGGGAAAGGGGGGGTTACGAAATTTGCTGCATGCAGCTGGTTTCGGCCTCACCGAGGGGCCCATTCCTCGATACATGGGCGCCTCCCGGCGCCGGGAGGCGCCGGGAAAATCACCTACGTGAGCTGATTCTCAAACCCCCCCTTTGCTATCCCCCCCTTTCGCCCGACCCGAGGGTCGGAGGGCGCCCGGGGCGCAGCTGCATCGGTCCTGGCCATGCCGCTCCTCGGCCCAGGCGGGGTGCGGAGGATGCCTTCCTGGCCGGGCCGGGCCGGGACGGCTCGTGCGCCGATCCTGGGCCAGGATGGGCCGACCCAGATTTTCACCACCCACCAAACCACCCCAACCCAACCCGAAGGTTCAGATTTACCCTCGATTTCCAGTTGGGGGGGGTCGGGAAAGCTCGAAAAAACACGTATGGAACCCTTACCCCCCCCAACCCGAAATTCGGGCCTTCGGGTTGGGTTGGGGTGGTCTGGTAGGTAGTCAGATTTGGAGCGGGTGTGCATATAACCAAGTACAGCCGATAATAATCCCCCAGGGAGAATAAAGTTCGGCGGTTACGGTGCGATAGCAAAGGTTGCCCACCAGGACCAGCATAACGATGTTAACAGAGGAGCCAAAGCCGAGGATATCTTGAGACATCCTTGGCTTCTTGTCCTCTCTGAGACATCCTCAACAATGGCTTGTCACGCTTGAGACATCCTCGACTAGATTTAGACACATAGAAACAGAGAGAGAGAAGAAACGAGCAGGAGAAGGAGAGGAGGAGGAGGAAGCACCAATCCACAGTTCAAAACCTATTAGATTTTATTTGTAAGCGCTTAGCGGAACTTAAGATGTTCATCTTCTCGTGTAGGTTAGCTCATCTGCTTCGTTTTCCCAGGATAGTCAACCACAGCGATAAAACAGTTCAGGGGGCACAGAAAGAAGGAGAAAGGTTGAGAGAGAGAAAGAAGAGAAAGAGAACTATAGACAGAGGACAGATATATATATATATAGAGAGAGAGAGAGAGAAAGAGAGAAAGAGGTTGAGAAAGAAAGAGACACATCTATATTACATATGTATAGAGAGAGAGAGAGACGGAGAGAGAGAGAGAGAGAGAGAGAGGAGAGGAAGGTGAGAAGGAGGAATAACAAATCCAAAGTTCAAAACTTATTATATTTTATTTGTAAGCGCTTAATGGGAATTAAGATTTTCATTTGCTCGTGTAGGGTGGCTCATCTGCCTCGTTTTCCCAGGAAGCTCAACCACAGCGATAAACAAGTTCAGGGCGCCAGGGGGAGGAGGAGGAGGAGGAGGATGAGGAGGAGGAGAGGAGAAGGAGACATCCTTAAGAAACGTACTGTCTCGCTCGAGACGTCCTTCAGTGTATGCTTGTTTCGCTTGAGACATCCTCGAGTGTATGCTTGTTTCGCTTGATAGGCTATCTCAACATCAGAAGGAAGTAACCTCGATGGCGAACTTTTCACGGTGATAATGAAGTTCGGCCTCCGCGCCCCCGCGCCCCCGACCAAACTTTTATTGGCCGTGGATAATCAACTCTTACGTGTATAGGGGGGGTACATTATTATCGTGGGTACCCAGTTATATGTATATATAGAAACGAACCTTGGCATAAAGATGATAACTCGGAGGTCCGCGCGGATTTCTCGGATCCGCGCTGGACCCTCCTGGCGGCGCCTCTGGCGCCGCCCCTGTCGCTCCGCGCGCCAGGGGAGGGGGGTCCGGCGCGGATTGCGGATTCAAGGAATCCGCGCGGATCTCCGAGTTGTTATGTTCATGCTATTTCTTGCTCCCCTATTATAACTAGCGTCCTCGCATCGAGGTCGGAGCAGGGTGGGGCGGGCAGGTACTGCGGGCCGCGCCTAACGGGCGTCGCGGAGACTGGGCAGGGCGGCCCCGAGATCTCTGGGGCAGGGCGAGCGCTGGCACCAGAGCGTGGGCCCCCTTGCTGCTCGCGGCGCGTTTTCCTTGCGGCGGTGGTGTCCCTCCTCCACTTCCCTTTGCTACCCTCTCCCTCTCTCTTTCTCTGTTTCTCGGGTATAGCCAGGGCCCCCGGGTAAGGGGACCCGGTTAGTAGCAGGTCCCCGGAGCCCGTACATTGACCAGAATCATTAAACCATGTCTGCCGTAGCTGGTGTTTTTTGGGTGGCGGCAGTTCCGGTTAGTGGAACGGGGCGGGGGGGGGGCGTCCCCTATAGTACACATTACTAAACCAGGTCCCACTAAACCCAGTTCTGCCAACGCCCGTTCTTCTCTCTCTATTCACCATTTCCCTCTCCGTTCCCTTCTCCTTTCCTCGCTTCTCGTCGCTCCGAGTGTCGCCGGCGCTGGGCCCCGTCAAGTGGTGTGTCTGCGCCCCAGCGCTAGTAACGTTTACCCGGAGGCTGCGGGGCCGCGCGGCGCGGCCCAGTGCGCAGTGCGGCCCTCGAAACGGCACGCCACGAGGGATCTTGCGGGCTTCCCTGCACTCAGAGCAGCAGGAAGTCATGGTAATGATACGTTCCATGATTTCGAGGGCTTCCCAGATCTCCGATCATTCCATGCGGGCCCAGAAGCGAGGGCCGTCAGGAGTCTCTTGGAACTCCTGGAACGTATCCTGAGCCAATCTTCTCATGACATTGCTCTCGTCCGACCCACTCCCTTTCCAGTCGTCCCCCCCCTCTCCTCCCCTCTCGGGGAGCCTGTTGGTGTAGGTCCCCTCTGAGGGCGTCTTGGGGGCCTTCTGGGCCATCTTGAGCCATTTTGGGCATCTTGGAGCGCTCTTGGGCCGACTCCGGGCCCCCCTTGGCCCCGTCTCGGAGGCCTCTCGGGGGCCTCTTGGCCCGTATTCGGGCCCCCTTGGCTCCGGAGCGGTCCACCTCTCTCCTTCTAGTCACTTCTTCTGCCGCCCCTTTCCGCGAGCGCCGAGGGCTGCGCTGCGCACCTTTGGAAGGCAGGTGCAGCCAGAGCGCACGTCACGCTGGCCGGTCCAGAGTCTCGCTTTTGGCCTGGCTGGCGCCCGACGCTCCCGCGGGAAGGGCGGGGCGATGACATCCTGAAAAGCCGAATCTCGCACACAGGCCGTGCGATGGGGATCGGAATTTCACCAGGATGAGGGCCCCATGTCACGTGAACGAATGGCGGTCGCTCTGTTCGCGAGAACCAGTGTCGGCTGCTCTGTTGGCCATTTTGCGGCTGCGCGCGGCGAGTGCTAAGCGCGACGCGTGGCTCTCTGCTGTGGGTGCTTTGGGTGGCTCTATGCTATGGGTGCTCTGGCGGGGCTCCTCGCTCCCTGGTCGCCTTCTCCTCCCCCCTCTGCAGTAGGGGCCCATGCCAAGAAACACCCTGCTTGCCTCTAGGGTGCCCTGGGTTTCTTGTGTTTCGATGGTTTTGCGATGGAAAGCGTCACGTTCCCACACCAAAGATCGATGTACCTCCTGGGGTCTCAGGGTTGGGTTTCTTGCCGCAGTTTTCTTGTGGTCGGGCCCCCACATACCCGAGCAGGAACGGCACGAGCGTACAGCACGCTTGGCGACCCGAGGTCTCTCGCTCTCTTGTCGAGGACCCTCAGGACGTGCGCTGGCCCAGTGTGTGCTTACCCCGTTCAGCTCCACCAGCCGATCGTTACATCGCCTGCGTCGCATTGGATGGTCTGACTGGGCAAATATCCGTGGTCGACACGCTGCCTAGTCCGGCAGAGTCCTGCGTGGTGAGGCTTATTTTCGGAGGTGGGTAGACCTCCTACCCTGACGCGTCGATTAAGGAATTGGCCGTTTTCGGTTCGCGAGAGGGCGTCGCGGCCGTCATTTTTGCAGGTCCAGGTCCGTCGGTCTCGGTCCCAGGCCGCTTTCACTAAGGGGAGGTTTACTGAAGGGAGGTTTGTCCACCGCCGATACTTCTCTGTCTCGCCGAATCCAGCTTGGTTCCGCCGATCCCGGCGTCATCCCAGGCTAGTGGCCTTCAAATCTCGCTTGCTAGCCCGCGCCCGCTCTCACGGAGACCTCCCAGGAGTAGTCTCCCGACATCATGGCCCTCTCTTTCCTCCCTCTCCTCCTTCTCCTCCATCTCCTGCTCCTCCTGCTCCTCCTGCTCCTCCTCCTCCTCCTCCTCCTCCTCCTCCTCCTCCTCCTCCTGCTCCTGCTCCTCCTCCTCCTCCTCCTCCACCTCCTCCCCCCCTTCCTGTGCCCCGAGATCGGCGCCTCGTCGTTAGAGCCTCGAGCGCCGAGGGCTGCATGCCCTGGGGGTGGGCCCGGGGCCGCCAGGCGCAGGAGGCCGCGCCGCGCCGCGCGTGCCGCGGTTCGGGCCGAGGGCACCGCGATGGCCGCGCTTGAGCTGTGCTCGCACGGAGTGGGCTCTGGGGCGTCGGCCAGACGCCGGCCCTCGCCTGCCGCCGGCTCCCCTCGGCTCCTCCTGCGGGCGTCGCCAGAGGCGCCCCTGGCCCACGGAGGCCCCCAGATCCCCAAGGACGCCCCCACGGCCTCCGGCGCAGCCCTCGCGGGCCCGGAGGCCCCAGTGGCTCCAAAGTTGAGCGAAAAGCGGGGGGCACCTTGGGCCAGGGGCACCTGCAGTGATGGCCCTGTTTCCACCACCACCACCATAAGTTGGAGGGGGGAGGGGGTCTTCCTCCCCCTCTTCTTCCTCCTCCTCATCCTCCACCTCCTTCCCCCCTCCAACTTATGGTGGTGGTGGTGGTGGTGGTGGAAAACAAGCCCATCATGTAGCAACCCTCGACTCCTCGGCTGCCCCTGGCTCGGCCCCAGACCTCGCCCGTCGCTGTTTCTGCTGTCCTTTCCCTCCGGCGCTGGGACCCCGGAGGCCCTCCGGTGGCGTCCCTATCTATTTCCAAAGGCCACCTCCCCGTGCCGGGGGCCCCACGGCGGCCGCGGTGACCATGCCGTGTGGTGAGTCCGTGAGGATTTGGGGTGGCGGGCCGTATCGTGAGGTTTGGGGCGGATTCCGAGGTCTCGGAGGAGGGAGAGGTACCCATACCTCCACCCTCCGCCCGTTTATACCTATGTTGGGGCCTCCTCGGAGGCCCTCGTCGCCACCGCTGGATTCGCCACGAGCTCCTGAAGTCACCCCGGGAGAGGTCCGGGGAGCAGCGGCATCGGAGCCCCCTTGCTTTCCCCACGGTCACCGCACGGTCTGTCACCGCACAGTTTTGGGACCCCCCTCCTTTGGCCTCGCGGGCTGGCCCGCCAGCCGCCTCTTGCCCCTCTGCGAGGCTTCGGCCTCGCTTGCTCCGCTCCCAGTCAGCCCAGAGCGTTCCGTTCCGTTCCGTTCCGTTCTTGTCCTCCTACTCCTCCTCTTCCTCCTGCTCCTCCTCCTCCTCCTCCTCCTGCTCCTGCTCCTCCTGCTCCTCCTGCCCCTTTCTCCTCCTCTCCTGTCCTTCCTCCGCGCACTTTTTGCTGGGCGTCCTCTTGGAGAGGCCCCTGGGCCCAGGGGCACTGCTGGGGGGGCTGAGCTCCGAATGGGGGCACGCCTCTGCCCCGAGTCGCCCATCGATCGCCGACAGGGCCGTGAGCTTTCGCCATGGAGGGCCTCTCGCCGATCCATCGGCGACGTATCAGAGATCAGGAGCGAAAGGAGGACGTACACGTACATGAATCCACGCGGATTTCGAGAGTTCGCATTGCGCGAGTGTTCGTATCACGCGGCTGGTCTCGCGGATCCAGGGGCCGAGTTCATGTACATAGCTGGGCGCGTACGTCCTTTGTGGGCTCCCCGGTTTTAGGTCGATGTTTTGTCACTCCTTGGCCAGACCCTCCCCCGTTCGTTCGGTAGCAAGTCATGGGAGCCTGGTGTACCCTCTGGGTTCCGTCTTCAGCGTCGACCAGCGTCGATTAGCGTGTCTGCCAGTCAGTGAAATGGTGCCCATTTAGCGCCAGTCAGCGTCGATGGACGTCGATTTGGCGCCGGTTAGCGTCGATTTAGCGTCGAGTAGCGTCGGTTCGCAGGAGCGTCGGTTCGCAGTGTTGGGTTTTTTGTGGAAGGTTTCTTGTGGTCGGGCCCCCACCTGTGTGGGAGGCTCCCATGAGTTGCCACCGAAATGGGCGACCGCACCCGGAGCACAGCTTCGAGAGGCGACGGCGCGCGGCCCCCTCCCTGCAAGGCGCCAAAGTGCGGGCGCCACGCAGGCGACCGATCGCCTGCTGAGCCGCCTCGAGCGCCCCCCCGCTGGGTCGAAGAGAGGTTCGAGGATATCGATTGTCGAAGAGGAAGGAGGAATACTAATGCGAATATGAATAACAATGGTAATGCCATTAATTGCTTAAGAGTAATATTCGTAGTACTAGGAGCGCTAGTCATACGGATAAGACTGACACACTTTACTTAGAAACGTAATCATACGACTACGAGTGCTACTATACCGAATGGTACTCGTAATAATAATAAGACGAATGATACGAGTATTAACACCAACAATCTTAACACCATTTCGTAATGTAGCAATATTCGGATTGGCAACAAGTAATACTGAAGCTCTCGCTATACATAATAACAACATCGCGATTGCTAAGTATTCCGAAAAGAAGAAGAACCTCACACACATAATAATACGATGAGTGTATTAGTATTAGAAGAAAATACTATTGATAATGAGCGGTAGTAGCAATCATACTAACAGTATAACCATACACACTCGGAGCTCCGCGCTAGTTCTTGCTTGGATCGGCGCTGGACCCCCCCTGGTGGAGCCTCCGGGGCCGCCCCCGGCGCGCCCCGCGCGCCAGGAAGGGGGGTCCAGCGCCGATCCCAGCAAGACGAGTCCGCGCGGAGCTCCGACAGCGTCTGCCTGTTGCCTCTCTGCTCTTCCCCTGGGGGGCGAGGACAGGAGCGCCGAGAAGCGGGGAGGTCGAGGCTTCTGGGCGTTCTTGCCTCGGCCGCCGGCGCTTGCCGAGGAGCCCCTCCCCTCGGCGGGGGGGGGGGGGGGGGGGGGGCGGGCCGGGCCGCGGCGCCCAGGAGCCCCCGCCATGGTGGGCGGGGAACTGGTGGCCTCCAGTCGGGCCCTCTACAGTATGAATATTCCCACGTAGGCAAGAACTCGTATGGAGACAGCTTTTGACTATCTATCACCATGTTTGAAGATGTTTTGACTATCTCTATTTGTTCTTCCAAACTCCGCCTGTAGGAGGATGCGCCCGACCCAACTGCAGCCACATCCACGGCCTCGCGGCCCGGGCTCCTCGGCCGCGGCCCCACACATCCAGCAGTGGCAGGGCGTCCTGGTTTGCCTATAGGTCTAGGCCCAGCAAAAACTGTTCTAAGAGCCTGCTGTGGTCTGCACGAGAAATTGGATGGGACATTTCTGGCCGAGATTTGTCTTGCTTGAGCACCTCGGGTCGATGTTCTAAGAACATGGTCCTGTTCTTAGAGCATTTTCGGGTCCTGAGGACATCGCGTGGTAGGCCCACAGGACTGGCAGGACGGTCGCTCCCTGCTCAGGCATCCGCGGCCTCGCGGGCCGGGCACCTCGGCCGCGGCCCCACGCGCGCGGGGAGGCCTCCCGGCACTGCCCTGGGCGGAGCGTGCCCCATGCGACTGCGGTTCCATGGAGTCTCGCGCCCCGCGCGGCGGCCCTCGTCGTCTTGATTTTGCGCGCCTCCCCCCTGGTCGTCTGCGCCACCTTCGCGATCGGGTCATCTAAGCTTGGATGAAAACAGCATGGCGACGCCACGAGGTGAGGTCGGATCGTCGAGAGCAGGGTAGTGTGATCTAGACGCCGGGAGCAGCCATGAGCGGAGTGTGCCCAGAAGCAGCGGAGGTGGGATGCGCCCAGGTACAACGCAAGCCTGACATTCATCGGAAAATCCGCGGAGCTTGTCAGGCCGCGCCGTGTCTCTCCCTCTGTCCTGTCTCGTCCGCAGTGCACGGGCCGTCACCAGGTTACAACCTCCTCGTTGACCATATATGCGCAGCCCCCCCCGTCACCCATTCATTTTGCATCGGTCTTTGAACTCTCTAGTCGTACTCTTTATGATCAGCCGCCTTCTGTTCATGCGTGCCTGCTCATCCATCTTTCCGCTGTTTTCTCGTGGTGGGATGTAAGTGTAATCAAATGAATTTTGGATCTGTTCAATTCTAATTATCATTCTAACTAGATTTGAATAGGAATCCAATTCGACAGCTGGATCTAGGATCCGCTAAATTCCAATGTGTTTCTAATTCAATTCCAATCGGAATCCACATGTAATCAGCTCGGTTTGGGATCTGCTCAGTTCCAACTAGATTTCAAGCACATTGCAATCGCTTTACAATTGTAATCAACTGGGTCTGTATTCTGTGGAATTCGAATTAGACTTCAATTCGATCACAATAGGGGTCCAAATGGAAGCAGCTGTATCTGGGATCTGCTCCATTCCACTTAGATTCTAGTTCGATTCCAATTCCAATGGGAATCACATTGGAATCAGCTGGGTCTGGGATCTGCTCAAATCGAAGTATAGTCTACTTCTATTGCAATAGGGACATATTTGAAATCAGCTGGACCTGTGGTCTGCCCACTTCCAATTCGATTATACTTTGATTCCAAGCGGAACCCCACTTGGACTCATCTGGATCTGGGATGTGCCCAATTCCACTTCAAGTCTAAGTACATATCAGTAGAGGCAACTTAGAATCAGCAGGAGATCCGCTACATTTCAATTCGATTTGACTTCCATTCCAATCGGAATCTAGTTTGAATCACCTGGATCTGGGATCTGCTCCAGCCCAAGTAGATTCTACTTCGATCCCATTGTGGGTCTATTTGGAATCAGCTGGATCTGGGAATTCAAATTAGATTTCAAAATGGGTCTATTTGGCATCAGATGGATCAGGGATCTGCACCATTTCAACGCGATTCTGAGCATATTCCCATATGAATCCAATCTGAATCAGCTGTTTGTGGGATCTGCTCAATTCTCATTCGGGTTCATTCGGTCCCAGTAGGAATCTACTTGGACTCAGCTGAATCTGGGTTCCGCTCCACCCAGTGAGATTTCGCTTGTGTTTCAATTGGGATGCAATTATAATCAGCAGGATCTGACATCTGCCTCTCTCTCTCTCTCCATCTCTCTGTGTCACTCTCTCTCTCTCACTCTAGTTCTCTGTCTCTGTCTCTCTCTTTTTCTCACACTTCCTCTCTCTCTCACTCTATTTTGCTTGTATCTCTCTCTATCTCTCTCTCTTTCTCTCTCTCGCTCTCTTCCTCTCCCAGGCACCCAACATAGTCCCTGTGGACACACTGGTTTCGTGATGCTAGGAGGAGAATTGAGGGCACCATGTGATTTCATGTTTGTTTCAACTTATTTTTGTTTTGGGGGGGTCTTTCTCCCTCCAGCGGAAATCCAACCCAGGAGCTCTCCCAGTGGCTCCGGTTCCCAGAACCCCCAAGCTCAAGACATTCCAAATGAAGTTTTTTTTTTCTTATTGTTCACCCCAGAGATCCCAAGCATCCAAATGAAAACACAAGATTTGCGATGTCAGGTGTGCGGACACTCGCTGTTTTCATCTGGATTGTTGGGGCCTTTGGGATCAGAAATGAAGAACCAATGTGTTTTCATCTGGACGTTTTGCATTTTCAGGATTATGGGGACCTGATCTCTGGGAGGACTCCTGGGTCGGATGTCCGCTGAACGGAGGAAAACCCCCAACACCCAAACACATTTCATGTTTTTTCTGGTAATAAAAAAGCATGATGTCCTCACATTCCATCCCAGAAGCCCAGAATGTCCAGATGAAAACAGGGTTTCCACACCCCTGACACCGCAAACCCCATGTTTTCCTTCGAGCTTTTGTGATTTCTGGCATGGTGTGCTGGGGGACCGTTGGGGGACGGGGTCCAACATCGGGCCCAACCGTCGGCGTCAGGTTCGGAGCGGGCAGCAACTCATGGCATTCATGGAGATCGGCGTCTGGGACACTCGATGTCGAGCTGTTTGCAGCGAGCAAAACCACCGTGCCAGCGCTCCAGCGCAGCGGGCAAGATAAGGTGAATAGCCGCACCAGTTCAGTGCCCTGTCTGCACGTGCGTGGGTCTTAGAGATCCCCCTTCTTGTCCCCAGTCTCGTTCTAAACCTGTCTCCTTCCTCTTCCTCCTCTTCCTCTTCCCCCTCCCCATGGAGCGCGTCTTGGAGGCTAAATTGGGGCTTCTTTGGGCTTTGGCGCTTTGGTTCTACCGAGATCTCCCCAACCGGCTCTGTGAATCCATTTTGGGACGGGTATTGGGGTGCATTGGGGCCTCCTTGGCGGTCTTGGGCCAGATGTTGGGGTGGAGGGTCTTAAACCACTGTGGGGCCGCTTTGAGGGCTTGTTTGGTACCTCTTTGACCGTCTTGGTGCTATCGGATACCCTCAAAGGGAAGCTCAAGCCTCATCATGTTGACATCCTTCCGGGTATCATGCCTCTTCGCCATCTTGGAAGCCTCTTTCTGACCTGTGGGCACATCTTAGAGCCTCGGGTAGGTCTTTGGTATGTTTTTCATCGGGGCCGCATGGTCGGGCCTCGATGCCGTCTTTGGCTCGCGTTAGGGTTTGGCGTTTTATTTGGCCTCCCGCGACGGGTTGGGGGTGCGTGCGCTCCTAGAGAATCACCGGAGCCCTGATGAAACCCAGCGCACATTCCCACACGCCCCAAGGTGTGCCGAGTGCTCGCTGGCGGGTCAACCCGACCCTGCATTGCTCGCTCCATCCCCAGCCCTTCTCCTTCTCGCCCGCCTCTTCTCTGCCCCTTGTCTGCTGCACCTCTTCTGTCTCTGCCTCCTCCTTCCTTGACGGCCGCCCCTTGGAATGCCCAGTCCGGTTCGCGGCCCTCTTTTTGCTAAGAGTTTGCTAGCAGCAGGGCCAGCAGGGTGAGGGGGCTGACGATGCCGAGTTGGTGGGGAAGCAACAGCCCCGAAGAGAAGCTGATGATGACGATGCTGATGATGCTGCTGCTGCTGCTGATAAAGATGATGATGATGATGATGATGATGATGTTGATGACGATGGCGATGGCGATGACGATGGCGATGATGATGGTGAAGATGCTGATGCTGATGATGATGACGATGATGACGAGGATGATGATGATGACGATGCTGATTATGTTATTGATGATTACGCTGATGATGATGCTCATGATGATGATAATCATCATGATGATGCTGATGATAATGATAATGATGCTGGTGATGGTATGATGGTGATGGTGCTGCTGATGATGATGATGATGCTGATGATGATGATGAGGAGGAGGAGGAGGAGGAGGAGGATGAGAATGAACAGGATGAGGAGGAGGAGGAGGACGAGGCAAGCAGGTTTGAAGGAAAGGAGGAGGCTGAGGAGGCTGATGATCGCCCAACGGTGCTGATAGTCTCGGATCTGGAAGCGTACCCGCCCAGGCTGATCTTCGATACCCCTGCTGCCCGTGACCGTGCCTACACCTGCTTCAGGTGGGTGGGTGGGTGCCGGGACCGCGGGCGTTGGCATCAGATACGGCGGCGGCTACCGTCCATGCAGTGTAAGGTCCACACGGAGTGCCCCTTCCTGGCAGACGTCTCGCCTGCTGCCCTCTGGCTGCTTCGGCTCCTCGGCGTACCTCGCCGCGTTCCCCTCTTCCACTTTTCTTCCTCGTCATCCCTCCCTCCTCCCAGTTTAGCCCATCCCTCCTCCTCCCTTCCTCCTCCTCCTCCTCCTCCTCCTCCTCCTCCTCCTCCTCCTCCTCCTCCCCTTGCCGTGTCTAATGCGTTTCCATTCGTCCAGCTGCCTGCTGCAAGTCCCGCCACCGTGCCAGCCCAGCATTCTGGGTGGCGACTTGGCGACTATTCGAGGGGCACGGGGCACCGTCACGTGTGGCACCTTGTGTCTCCAGGCTTGAACGAGCCGTGATGAGAATTATGAGAATGACGGGGATGATGACGATGATGCTGATCGTTGGTGGTGGTTCCAACGATGTTGGTACCGATGATGATGCTGATGATGATGAGTATGATGATGATGATGCTGATGATGATGATGATGATGATGCTGAACATGATGATGATAATGATGCCGTTGGTGCTGATGATGCTGATGATGGTGCTGATTATGATGATGCTGTTTAGTATGACAATGATGATGGTACTGATGATGCTGATGATGATGACGATGCTGATGCTGATGATGCTGATGATCGGTGATGGTGGTGCTGGTGCTGATGATGCTGGTGAAGGTGACGATGATGCTGTCTCTGTTGCTCATGATGTTGATGGTGATGCTGATGATGACGACAATGGTGATTCTGCTAGTGATGATGATACAGATGGTTATGATGATGGCGATGTTGCTGCAGACGGCCTTGATGTCGATGCTGCGGATGGTGACGTCGATGAATTTTGTTGCTGGTGGTGGTGATGGCAGCGGAAATGGTGATGCTGATGGTGATGGTGATGAAACTGATGCTGGTGCTGATGGACGATTCTGATGATGGTGGCGCTGATGCTGACGATGGTGATGTTGCTGATGATGGTACTTGTGATGTTGTTATTGGGTTCACACAATTGAAGAATCATTTCTGCTGATCCTCCCCCCTCCAGTGACCAATGTGTTTTTTTTCAATTGAGGTGGTTCCCCCAGGGCTCGCACCTGGTTTTTGTTTGTCAGGACAAGTCGCGGGGCTCAAACTGGGCTCAAACTGGGCTCCTGTCCCCAGGTTTACAACAACAGCGGCTCCCGCCTGATACGTCCTCACAATTGATTCCCAAATCGCGCTCTCGCGCGGGACTTCCTCTCAATTCACGTTCGCATCGCGCTCTCGCGTAGGACTTCTTCGCAATGTATCAAGACGATGCGCCCTCGGCGCTCAGGAATCACGCTCTCGCCTTCGCTTTTCTCACAATTTACTTGGGAATCGCGCTAGCGCTCGAGACGTCCTCGCGATTCATGCAGGACCCACGCTTCAGCAACCCGCCTGCTCGACCTCGTCGCCTGAGCCTGCCTTTCCGACCTGCCCGCTATGGGTCAGCCCATCCGATCTGCCTGTGTGGTTCTACCATCTGGTTTCTGCATTGATGTTTCTGGTATTGGTTGAGGCAGTGGTGGTTGCGATTGGGTTGGTGATGGTGATGAGGTGATGATGCGATGATGGTGCTGTTGATGTTGATGTTGATGAGGATGATGATGATGATGATGATGATGATGATGGATGATACTGACACTGATGATAGTGATGATGCTGAAGCGGATGATGACGCTTATGATGATGATGTTGCTACTGATGATGGTTGTGATGATGCTGTTGAATGTGATGCTGATTAGGATGTCGATGATCATGCTGCTGATACTCGCGCTTCGGTTGCTGCTAATGCTGATAGTGATGATGATGCGGATGGTGATGCTGCTGCTGATGATGACGATGCTGATGATGCTGATGGAGCTGATGGGGTCGCTGCTGGCTATTATGATGATGATGGTGCTGATGATGATGATGATGCTGATGATGAGGATGATGATGATGACGACGATGATGATGATGATGATGATGCTGATGATGATGATGATGACGGTGATGATGATGCTCATGCCGATGCTGATGATGCTGTTGCTGCTGATGATGTTGATGACGATGATGCTGCTGACGATGACGACCTCGTTTGAGCTGTTCTGGGGCTGCCTTGGCCTCCAGAGTGGCAGTCCTGGCGGTCCCTCAGGGCCGTTTTGGGCCATCTTGGGACCTTCTAGCACCAGCTTTGGTGTTCTCTTGGGCCGTCTTGGGGCCCTCGTGTCCGTATGCTGGGTGTCTGGGGTCCGCCGCAGGGCCGTCGTGGTGCCGTTTTGGGCAGTCGAAGGGCCCACGGGGCCGTCTTGGGTACCACGGGGGGGGGGGTCTTTTGGGCTGTATTGGGGCCGTCTTGGGGCAGTCTTGCATGATTATTTGGCCATCGCGGGGTGCAGCCCGACACGGCGAGAATGCAAACATCATTCACCAACTTACTGTGGATGGTCTCCCGAACGTCGTCAGGGGCTGTCTAGACACCACGTGGGGCGATAGAACATGAACGCGGACATGGCGAGCTCGTTCCAGTGCCAAGCGCACATGCTCCTGGAAGGGGCCCGCGTGGCGCCCTTCCTCTGAACAAGAAGCAACTGTTAGGGACAAGGTGGTTCAGGGTTCAGGGCTAAGCTCCTCAGCCTCAGAGGACCTCCGCAGTCTCCGAGGCCTCTAGAATCACACCTGCGAGACATCAATGTGGTTGGCCTCTTCGGGCCTTGCTGGAGGTCCTCTTGTGGCCCTCTCGGGCCCTCTTGAGGGCATCTAGGGCCGTCTTGAAGCAGTGTTAAGCCGCCTTGGGGCAATCTTGGCCCGTCTTCGAGGCATCCTGGGCCGTCTTGGTGTCCATGGTTGCCTGCGCGGGCCGTCTCGGAGGTTCGTGGCGCATATCCACAGTTTGTAACGCGATCCTAGAGCGGGTGTGCGTGGGATGGGGAGTCCAGGAGGTAGTTGCCATGCGGGATGTGCGCAATCCCTGAGCGGGCGCCCATGGGATGAGGGTTCAGGCATTTGCTGTCATGCGGAAAAAGCACCGCGCTCGAGCGGGCACGCGTGGAATGGGGTTCAGGCGTTAGCTGCCATGCGGGATGTGCGCCATCCTCGAGCGGGGGCACGCGCGGAAGGATGGCTTAGGCATGCGCTGCCATGCTGGAAATCCACCACCCCCGAGCGGGCACGAGGAACGTGGCCTCGGTGAGTAGGGGGGGATGGGGGGGGCGCAAACGTCTGTTGGTAGAGGATGAGGGGGGGGGCGGTCCCTGATTATATTACACATTCTACCAGGCAGCCCTCTGCATTCTTCCACGCCGCTTCAACGTGGCAGGGGGCACGGTGGCGGATTCCCTTCCCATGAAGCACGGGAGCTGCCACAACGTCATCGTCATTGCCGTCGCACTCGTGATCAGCGCCACCATCAGTATCGCCAGCCCGCCCAACCCATGGGTGTGCATCGAGAAGCGTAATCGCATCAATATGTCAGCTGAGTTTTGCCAAGCTGCGGGTGGGAGGGTGGACTGTTTGTGCGGGGATTAGAGTTGGAGGCTTCTGCTCCTTCTGTGACTTGCACAGGGCTGGCATATGTTTTTCGGAATTGTCGGCAGCTTGAGCTGCACCAGTATTGTCTGCCTCGCACCCGTGATTTCTTCAAGACGCCAGAATTCGGGGTTGGAGGGGGAGCCTGAATAGTCCCATTCGGATGATGGTTGGTGATGATGGTGATGCTGATGATGCTGGTGACGACGACGGCGGTGATGATGACGATGACGACGACGATGACGATGCCGACGACGACGATGACGACGACGATGGTGATAACGACCATGATGATGCTGATGATTATGATGCTGATGCTGATATTTATGATGCTGCTGCTTATGATGCTGATGGCGATACTGATGCTGATCCTGCTGATGGTTCTGCTGATGATGATGCTGATGATGCACACGATGGCGATGACCATGCTGATGCTGATACTACTGATGATGGTGAAGGTCATGACACCGGTCATGTTAATAACGTGGTACTGGTACGTGTAAAGGACATGTTCATGGCAATCGTAATGCTAATGTTAGTTGTAATGGTATTGATGATGATGGTGATGATGCTGATGCTGATGATGATGCTGACGCTTATGCTGATTATGTTGCTGATGATTATGGTGCTGATGCGGATTATGTGTTTTGTAAGAAAAAATCAAGATGAAGATAGTAGCACTGGTATTATTAAGAATATTGATACCGATGTTCATGATGCTGATAATGATGCTGCTGATGAGTATGATGCTGACGACGATGATGCTGAGGATGATGATGATGATGATGATGATGATGATGATGCTGTTGATCATGATGCTGACGATGCTGCTGATGATGATGCTGATGTTGATGCTGATGATGCTGATGCTGATGCTGATGATGCTGATGCTGATGCTACTGATGATGATGATGCTGATGATGATGATGCTGATGATGATGATGATGATGATGATGATGTTGATGTTGATGCTGATGCTACTGATGATGATGATGATGATGATGATGATGATGATGATGATGATGCTGATGCTGATGCTGATGCTGATGCTGATGCTGATGCTGATGCTGATGCTGATGCTGATGCTGATGCTGATGATGATGACGATGGTGATGGTGATGGTGATGGTGATGATGAGGAGGATGAGGCGGAGGAGAAGGATGGATATGAGGCCGGGGACGAGGAGGGCGGATTTGAGGGAGGGAGGGAGGTTTTTTTTTGTATGCGAATCTGATGAAGCTCTAGGCTTGACAGAAGAGTGCGGCACTCAACTATCTGCAGACGGATACTGTGGCATCTAGAGACAGAAGCAACAGCGCGCACAAGCAGTACGGGCGCCAAGGATTTGTGAGATCCTGGTCCCTCCCGACCCCCATACTCCACCACCACCCT